TTCAGTTGAATTTATTGTGGTACATTATGAATGACTTTTTTTCTTTGCCTTCTATTTCGAGCAATAGTGTTTCATTTTATTATATATTTTGTTGTTTTATTAGTGACAGAAAGAACAAATGTATACAGAATTAATTTTAATTCAGATTAATAAAATGAAACTCATAATAGCTGCTGTTATAATAGCGTTTCTATGTTTAAAATGAAAACATGTTTAAACACTTTCAGTAAAAAACCGCGTTTTTTTTGAGTTTTTTCAGAAGTAGAGAAAAAAAATGACTTTAAACGATTTCTCGATTAATTTTTTCTCGAAAGAAAATACGATTAAAGACGATCTCTTTTGAAAACGAGTGTAAACGGGCTTGTTCTTCTCTCTGCAGAAACAAAAACGTTTAAGCGAGAAAAGTACAATTTGTTGTAGCGTAATAGAAACAATCATTTCTTCGAAAACTGAAGACAAACGAACAAAGAAGTACTTCAAAAATAAATGAGATGGAAATTGTCTTTAATTCCAAATTCAAACAGATTTCAACACATTTTTTCCAAAGAGAAAAATAAAGGTGTTAAAAGACTTTTATTTCTGTTTCCATTTCAGTGGTTTCTTTTGCAAAGAAGTTTAAAGACTTTTTTCTTCAAATGCGTTTAAACTTGGTTTTTTCAACCGGAAAGAACCTAACGTGTTCAAACTCGTTTAATTTTTAAACGCGTTCTAACTTCAAATACGTTTAAATGTGTTTGAATTCACTTCTTCCTCATATAAACGCTTTTTTTCCAGAAAAAACGGGTTTAAACTCGTTTATTTTTCTTTCAAAAGTTCAACGCGCTTGTTTTGCTGTTTGGAGTGTTAAATTTTTCAATGGGTGTCATCTACTAATTTCATTCCCATAAAATCTTTTCGTTCTGTTTGATCTAAACTAGTTATATTTTGCTAGCCGCCGGGTTCTCTCGCTTTCTCATATCCTCCATTTACTATACGTTTAATGTGTTCTTTGGTTAAATTGACGGTGTATGGCTTCTTTTCTCAGCAGTCCAGCCACTTCATCATCACATATCTTTTTAACAAGATCGTAAAAATCATCATTATGAAGTGTCAGAACATCACCGGATGGTATGCTTGTGTTTTACAATGCCATTTTACCTTTATACGTGCTTATTTTTTCAATTTTATATCGCGCTCAAAGATTTAAGGGTACTCCTCCCCTCGTTTTGGGCTTTCCGTAGATATGCTGTGAAATGAAAACTAAAACTCGCTAGGGCTTCGTATTTTCAGAACTAATTGGAAACTCAATGGAGCATTTTTTTCAAGTTTTTAACTATTGCCGTTCACCAGTTTTTCAGAAAATTCGGTTTTTCATTGTATCACATCACGATCCCCCTTAAATTTCATCCGATCGAGTTCAAAATTTTACCACAGCTACTCAAGGTTATTCCGCAGAGGTAATTTTTGGGAAATTTTCTTGAGACCTTTCCGGGTCGAGTTATAGGAAAAATACTGAAAAACGTCTCAAAAACTAAGTTTTTCAGTTTTAGAAACTCTATAACTCGGTAAAGAAAGATCTAAAAGAAATTTCCAAAATTATACCTCTGCGCTCTGATCTTGAGTACCTCAGGTAAAATTTTGAACTCGATCGGATGAAATTTAAGGGAGGTCGTAATGTGACACAATGAAGCCTGGTAGAAAAAAAATTGTTTTCGAGAAAAAACGCATTTTGTACGTAGGCCACTTTTTTCAGGGCATTTGCCGTGATGCTTACATCTCCACGAAAATTCATCAGAAAATTCTAGAAAACTAACTGGCTCGATGTTTACTCGCGAAAAAGATTTTTCTGCCTCATTTTACTGTCATATGTAACAGGGCAAGAAATAACGTTCTTGTATCTCCTAACTCGAAGCAAAAACACGTTCTTTTTTCAAATTTGACTCACATCATTCAATATCACTCACTCTCATACGAAAAAATATAATTCTCAGACGATAAAATCTCAGAGTCTTAAACGTGCTTTCTTGATGACGCTGATATAAGTCGAAATTATACAGCACATAGTCACACATAATAAACTATGACAATGGGTGATTAAGCGAAGGACTTTTGTACTCCACCTATACCACACACTCTGAAGTACGCGGTGTACGCGCTTTCCCCCCCTTGAAAGCGCTACTGGAGGCGGTTCTGTATTTAAGTATTATGGAGAAAAGTATATGAAGAAGTTCTGGAGAAAAAAGTTAATTCTAACACATGTTTTTTGTAGGGCTTGTCCACGAAAGTATGCTACCTTGTTAACATGCTGAACAACGGTACGACATTTTATTTTTTCTATACTTTTTGAGCAAGGAAATGACCATATGTGTGCCACATGTAGAATGATAGAGGAAATTGAATTTAATGAGATGTGAATGGGTTGATTTTGATTTTTCTGTTGTAAAATCGCGCAGAAACAGAGCTGACGTTACTAGGAAGGGGTGCCACATCCTCCTAAAAAATAAAAAATCCTGGATTTTTCCCACCAGAAAAGAAAAATTTTCTTGCGTTCTTTAAAAAAAATTCTTGTCTTAGTGAAGGACCCTCCGAAAGTCTGACTGGTTGCGACAGCCCTGCGCAGCAAATACTAACAATGTTTTTATGGAAAATGTGTGTTCTTCATCGTCATTCTTCGTCTTGACTTTGTAATGTATTCTTTTCCTTTTGCTGCCTTTAGATTCATTTGTACATATGAATCGTTCAACAACGCACGTTTTGAAAGAATTATTCGCTGGTGTACTCACTGGGGGTACCTTAGGTCTATTGTGGAGTAATGGAAAATATCTATGGTCTTATGTAACGTTGACTGGTGTAGCTTTAATCGATATTGCTCACCATTACGGTTACTTAACAGCTCACATTACTCATCTGTCAGTGGAAAATTATCAGCAACAAATTGTCAATAGTCTCGGACATTTACATCGTCAAGTAAAACGTTCAATGTTCAATGCTATCGATGATGGAAGAGATCCAAATATGCCGTTTACATTTCTGTGGAGTGATGTTCGTCGCCAAATCGATTTACATTTATTCTTTGGTATGGGTTTAACGTTGTCATATCTAACAACAATCGCTATAGCGTCTACATCAAGAAGAAAACTATGATTTATGCAATCAATAGAATATTATCGTTTTTTCAAGCATAGAATTCGGTATGTGCTAATCATACAACTAACTATATCGTTTAAGTTTTTTCTCTATAAGAGAATAAATGAAAAAACATGTGCCATACACGAGTTCACGTTAATTCTGATTTCTAAAATCTATAGTTTGTTTAAAGAAAAATTGGCTTATTGTTTTTACTAATTATGTTTTTTGCTGAATAGTTCTCAAAAAAAAAATCGAAAAATAGTTTTACTGTTGACTGATTATTGGTTTTATTAGCAGGATTTTTACAGAATTTGTTACTACAAACACGCTCAAAAAAATCTCATCGTTTCAATGGTGAACAGAAAAGCATTAGTCAACTTATCAGATCTATCAATATTTATATCAAAAATATCATTATTTAGTAATACAGAATCGTATATAGATATTTTCATGTTTTTTATCTCTCGCGGTGGTATTTGACCAAGAGTTTTTATCACCATCGTCTTTCACAGTTTCACAACATATTACTTTCCATATATGAATTTAATTATTTCAGAACATTAAGAAGATTCGAGTCGATTTACGGATAACTTTTGACAACTAGTTGAATTTGTTGAAAGATAGATATAGTCAATAAATATTGAGGTAACGAGCAGAGATGGCCAATTCCTATTTCAAGTTTCTAAGTTCTTTCATCCTAACTTGTGGTACAACTTCGTAGGAACTCCGGAATGTCGATGTTGCCAACTCTGATTCCTACTGGAGTTGCCCATCTCCAGTAACTAGATAAGGTAGTGATTGTTGTTGTTTGAATAGTATAGATATTTCTGTCACGCTGAAACTCCAAACAGATATAACTAAACCTGTCTACTAGACCTTAGATGCAGAAATAATTCTACTTATAATTGTGTGTTTTGTTTGAGATAAAATGTGATTCGTTGTTTACTCTGTGGTAGACCCAAACTTTATTGGACACAATGTTTCAATTGTTGTTTTTTTCAAATTTCATTCAAAAATCGTTAGACAATATTTCTGTTTGGTCAAGTTGTTGAAAAATACGGATTGCGTGCAGTAAACACGGATACTGGTGTTTTCTTTCACAAAACTAAAACCACTTGAGATTTCCCACTGATTTCTTTCATTTCATTTTGATTCTGTACGTAAAATCAATAAAAAATATTCTCTTAGTTTCGAAGGTTTCTGGGAAATCTTTCTATAAACCAAAGCATTTTCTGTTGTGTTTTTCAACATTTATTGAGCTTTACGATATGTTTAAAAATAAATTTTGTACAGCAGCAGTCATTTATTTAATTTAATAATTTAAATTTATCTTGACGCTTCGACTCTTCATAGAGTCATTTTCAAAAGTCAAATACAAACTATATACAGTTTACGATATGTGTTGCAAATAAAATAGAGTATTTCCTGACATTCTGAAGTAGGTTGAATGGATTCTGATTGAGTTATGAATTTTTTAATTTTTCATGAAAATAATCAAAAATGGGTTATTTCACCTAGTATAGGTTTCCACTCGGTTGTTGTATTTTGCTCTGAAAACCATGAGATTCTTCGTCATGGATAACCTATAGATCAATGATTTTAAACATCACTTAATCTTAAACGTAACTGCTAACATCAGTCTCAGAAAACCTGCTGTCATATCCAAACCACGGTAGATGGAGTCATGGGACTTTCGGATATGTGTAGAGTAATGTTTAAGCTGTCTAGCAAACATATTAAAGTTGAAAATCCATTCTGCCCTCATAATTTGGCAGCACTCCCTTTCAGAGTCTAACAAGGTACACCACCTGTAGATGGTATAGTATAAGATATTTTTATGTCATCTTGTAGCTAATTATTTTCTCTATACAATGCCGAAAACCGGAAATCTTCAAAATGCATTCATTATTCAAAAGTTATTGAAAAAATAGCCATGTCCATTCTTTTTTTTAACGGACTATATATGCTGTACATAATTGTGGGCGCATGTGTATATAAACGCTATTTTGTTTTATTAACATCAAACGTAGAGGGTACCGTAGTGTATTTGTCTGCATTATAGTGTAGCCAACTCTAGCGTGTAGAAATGTGCTGTTTAGTGAGATAAACCAATAGACTCATCCATATTTTACCAACAAGTCAACATCCGACAGTTTCAAAGATGTGCTCGGCGTGACAATAACATACAACTTCAAAAACAAAAGATAATTTTGTTTTTTCACTACCACTACAGCAATTTTTAATTATACTATCGAAGACGTTTCTCTGCTGCTAAAGAGCAGTCGACATATATACTTAGTCGCTAGCATTCTGTTTGTAGTGATCTATGACTATGTTCTTTTTATTTACATTAAACCTGATTCTGACACTGAGCCAGAGGTAGGCAACTCTGGAGTTGAGAATCGTTTAGCGAAGCTGGAGTTGCGTTTTTATTAGGTCGGAATTCAATTGGTTCTAAATTTTTCTCAATTCAACTTCGTAACTCCGATTCAAAACTGTCTGAACTTCGAAAATTTTCCACTTTTTTGGATTATTGAAATGGTTCTATGTTAATAGTCACTACACGTTTCAACAGAATAAAAAGATGGTTATAAAATTCTATCCGTAGATTCGTCCCGTCGTCGATTCATTTGTGTCTTTTTTCTGGCAATATTGTTTTTATCTTTAATTGTCTCTAATTTATCGAATGCTGGTGTGAAGTGTGTTGGTATACCTTCGAGTTTTCTGAAGCTTTTAACTCTGTTTCTCATGCTCTTTTGTTGGAAAAATGCTGTGAATGGTGCTGTGTGAATGATTCTTTGTTTTATCTATTTATGGTTATTTGATTATTCCTTTGTCTATCTCTGATTCTCTTGATTTTTCTCATATACAAAACTGTATCAAACGCATCTCTAACTGGTCTATTTTAAATCTTATGTCGCTGAACGTGACTAAATGTTATCAGATTCTTTTCTTCAATGTTTTTCCATTTGTTTACGAACAATTGTATCTAAATAGCATTCCTCTCTCTGTTTTTTCCACTATACATTGTCACGATGCTCCCGTTTCGCATGATCTACGGTGAATTGAACATGCCAGAGATATTGCCCTTGGTTGTCGTCGTAAACTGCAAGCATTGAGCCGTATCTTTGGATTAGTCCACCTAAAGCTCGGCAAAAAATCTTCTATTCTTCCTCTGCTACATTGTTGTTGTGTTTTGTATGACAGTTCTTTTTCTCTTTCAGTTCTTTACTCTGTAAATAAACTTGCTACATGTGTTATCGCTCGTAATTTTGACTACCGTTCTTCTAGCTCTTTACTTGTGGTTCAGCTTACTCTTCTGAATCTTTCGATTCGCCGTAAATATCTTTGACTGATACAATTTTTTAAAATTTATCATCATCTTAGCTCTCTTATCCAATTCAACACTGTCATTACGCTTCCTTACGCTGTCATCATTCGAAATACGTTTGTATTCACACCTCTTGTAAACGATTTTTTCTTCATTTTTCTATGCATCTATTACCGACTAGAATAACCTTCCAGAATCGGTTATGTATTTTTCTTGTCTGTCTTCGTTCAAAACAGCATTATCAAAATATCTTCCAGAGTAACTTTCAACCATGTTCTTAGTCAACGCTATCAGTATTACTTTTCTATTTTTCTTTTTATTTGCTTTATTTCTATTTGTTCTCTTCTATTTCTCTATATCTGTTCGCTGATGTTCTTATTTTGTTTACTATCCGTAGCTTTAACTTCTACTGTTTGGCCTGAGTCATTGTTATTATAGATCGAGGACCTTTGATGACTCTCACTTTTCATGAATAAACTCAACATAAGTTAACTTAGTTAAATGGCAAAGAAGTCCAAATGTTTATTTGAAAAGTTAACAAATATATTGTAATTTTGAGATGCCCATGTATAAGTTAGCTTATATTTCAGAATTTTTAAAGTTATTGAATTCTGTTTATTCTTCATGATCATCAATGCATGTAACGAAAAATAGTATCAATTGGCAAAATCAATTTTTATTTATGTTACAGCATCAATAACAGTTAAGTTTTGTCTTTGTATTAGAGAGACTTACGTTGAAAATATTTTTAGATGATGACTCACTCATAGTGACTGAATCATTGAATCATTGATCCTACGATATTTGTAGTGATTTATTCTTTTTCTAATTCCTTTTTTTTAAAAAATGAATAGTTCTTTAGAATTCGCGTGTGAGGGTGTATATAATGGTTTTTGAGTGCTTTTTCATCTGCTTTATAGTTAGAAATGGATTTAGAAACAACAGTAGAATGTCTGTCAAAAATAAAAATTCAGTAAGTTAAAATGAATTCTAGAGTGGAAAAAAGAATTAGTTAGAAATAAGAAAAATTGAAAAAATATCTCATTGATAGTATCTGAGTATGAGCTCGATTCAGACTAGAGTACTTATATGTATACTAGTATGAACTAAAATTAAGTATTATTTTAGGTTATAACAAATGGCTCGATCGACTGAAATATTTCATTTTAAAATATTGATCATCGGGGAGTCTAGTGTTGGAAAAGTATTTATTGTCATAGTTTATGTTCTTAGTTGTTATACATCTTTGTTTTGTCTATCCGTTTAGAGTAGTTTAATGACTCGTTTTGTTGATCAAACATTTCAATCAACGTTTATTCCAACCGTCGGAGTTGATTTTAAAGTTAGAACATTAATTGTTGACGATTACCAGTGTAAAGTACAAATATGGTTAGTACGATTTTTTGTATGATGATATAAATTGAGAAATTTTAGTTGTATAATAAACTCGTGAACATGTCAATATAATAATAGTTGCAAGAATTTGTGTATTTAAACTCGAACTGATCGATAGAAATGAAAGTTTTAATCGTCTAATCTTCAATTTTCACGACTTTTATCACTTTTTACCATTCTTTCTTCTAGGGATACAGCCGGTCAAGAACGTTTTCGGTAAAAGTCATTTGTATACATTTTCTTATAAATTACTAATGAACTGATTCTCGTCTACTCTTACTTATTTATGTTTGTTAGAGTAATAACAACGACATACTATCGTGATGCATCGGGTGTATTAATTGTTTATGATGTCACAAATGGTGATACATTTTCGAAAGTTCGTCGATGGTATGTTTTGTATTTATATTCAAATAGAGGAATAATCAGCGAAAAGACTAAAAATTGTCAAGCGGATACTTGATGGATACGTTAGCTGATGATAACGAAGCAAAATGGATAAGCAGTTTTATTTTATTTTATTTCTAGAAAGTTTCCAATATTTTATTGCACATTTTTAACGTTATTTTTTATTTTTCCATTTTTATCTTTTTAGGATCGATGAAATTAATAAACATTGTGATGAAACGATAGCAAAAGTTTTAGTGGGCAATAAAGATGATAGTGATGTTTCATCGAATAAAGTTGTATTGACTGAAGATGCTCAACAATATTCCAAACACATGGATTTAGCTTTCTATGAAACGAGTGCTAGAGACAATAAAAATGTTGATAAAGCATTCTACGAAGTAACACGTTTAGCACTTAAAAACCGTTTAGAATCTCGATTAATCCAAAATAAAAATCAAGCAAATTATTCAAGTAAAGACAATCTAAATTCGAAAGCAGCATCGATCAGATTAAAAAAAAATGTCTTTGGAGGAAGTGGGAAAAAATATAAAAAAGATAAAAATAAGAATGGTGGTTGTTGTAAAAGTGGATGAATACGTTTTTTTTTTTGTTTTCTTTTCTTTTTTGATTTTTTATTATTTAACCGTCCATTGTTTAAGTTGTGTATGGGCACGTTTTGTGTCGAGTGATGATAAATTTTAGCACAGATGTCATTTTTAGGCAATTATTTATTTTAAATTTTTTTATGACATTTGTGAAATAATTCCGTCTTACAAATCTGTAATATGTTTCTTACTTTAATGATGGATGAGCATGAAATAAAGTAGGTCATTTATTCATTTATGTTCATTCTATATTTTTTGTAATGATTAAAATTGTTGTTAAGAGAAATTTTGTTCAAAAATCGACTAAACGAACGAATAATGGTCATAGCTCAAATTTATCTCTTCTCATTCTCAAATGTCCAATTTCAAATACTGTACATATCGCTGAATTTTTTACATTCGCAATTGTCACACTCTTGTTATATTATTATTATTTGTTGGTAGGTGAAGTAAAACAAAAATAATAAACTAGAATTTATTATATTCTGCTATTTATTTTTTCAGCTAGTGATGAAACCAGATAATTAAAAGATTGTGGCTGACGAGGGATGACCAAATGCTAAACCGCATTTTAATAAAAGGCATATAGACATACATAATTGATGATGATGGTTTTGAATGTAATAGTCGAAATTCTCAATAGGCTTTTGGACATCAGTTTCTGGAAAATTAGTTCTCCAAATACTGCACTTTTTTTGTTCAATAGCAAATTTGAAGATTGTCGATTTGTAGAGTAGCTCAAATTACCTATGTTGATAGATTTCTTTTATTATTAGATGAATTTTGACAGTTTTATATATTTTACGCTCAGATCATCCTGAATAATCAATCACTCGAAAAACAGTGCTATTAAAAGCATAGCAGAAAAAGTTTATATTTAGATATGAAACGAATGTAAAATGCTATAAAAGTATATAATGATTGAGTTTGAGTTGTAAGCAATTCATTGTTACATTTATCTATATCGTATACTTTGATTTCTCACTAAAATCATCGTCTTTCTTTATCTTTAATTATTCTTTCGGATCTGAAGTTGAAATATTTACAGCTGTAGAACTCCGACTACAATAATCGAGCCAGTACCATCAACTACATAGATCTACATGTCTTTTATTCATAAAGTGGTTTAGCACTTGTAGGATCCTCGTCAAATATCTATAACTGATACTGTTTCATTCATTATTTATGTCTAATGAATGTTAATACTAGGGATGTTACGAGTTGGAGCTCAGTTTTTTCGACTTTGGAAAAAGTGCATAATTCGAAAGAAGAAAGAGACGTTTTTTTTGAATATGCCAGAATATAGAGTAAAAAGTTTTCTGTAAAATGAAAGATCGCAGAGTCCTCAGCTTTCTTTTATTCGTATGATGTGTTTGTTCTAACAATGTCTTCTACTGACCTTAGACTCGTATTCGATGAGAAGTTTGTAACTAAATGAGTACAAAATTACAAGCAAAAATTACACAGAACTCTTCAACGTCTTATTTTGTAGAGAAACATGTACATGTTTGAACGCAGATTAAATCTGCGTTTCTAGCAACTCAAAAAGAAATACATCCAAGTAAACTACAGGGATTCACGACAAAGTTTGATAAAGATATTAAATAGGCTCGTGACATTTCAAGTTAGCACTATAAAGGATGATTATGTGTTTATACTTGGAATGTAGCAACTGAAAGCATGAAATTAGTGGTTAATTTAGTTTTTCATGTATTTACTTTCAGTTTGTCTTATAGATATTTATGGCATCAAATCGTTCAAATGCAGATGGTAGTCAACCAACTCAAACGTTTAAAATTTTGATTATCGGTGATTCAGGAGTGGGTAAAAGTTCTCTCATGGTGAGATTTGTTGATGACATATTTACAACATCGTACATCACGACGATAGGAGTGGATTTTAAAATGAGTACAATTAATATTGACGGACAGCAATGTAAAATACAAATTTGGTATGTGGATAGGTAGTGTAAACTTTAACGATCTATGCTCCAATATTTCTTGTTTTTAATAGGGATACGGCTGGACAAGAACGATTTCGAGTAATTACGAGTACTTATTATAGAGGAGCAGATGGTGTAATTATTGTTTACGATGTAAGAGTCTTCAATATTTTAAATCATATTTTTGCGTTTATTATTGGATTTAGTATCAGTATGATTTTATCTATTTCATTTTTCTCAAGGTTACAAATGGTGAAACATTTGCAAATTTAAAAGATTGGATTACAGAAATGGAACGTCATTGTGATATTAATGTTCGTAAGTAGCCCTATAAATCAATAGTTTGTTTATATTTTAGAATACTAGAACAAAATTTATCTCGTTTGTATTCTAAAAACTAATTTTAAGTTTTAAAATTAATATTCTGTATATTTTGTTCTTCTATTATTTGTTTAAAGCTAAAATTCTTGTTGGTAACAAAGATGATTCGGATTTTGAGATGACAAAAGTTGTTTTAACATCGGATGCCAGTCAATATGCACAACAAAAAAATTTACCGTTTTTTGAAACAAGTGCACGAGATAATAAAAATGTTGAAAATGTATTTCATGAAATAACAAAATTAGCACTGAAACGTCGATTAACAATGCAAAAAGAACAGCCATCATTATTGAATCAAAAACGAACAATTTTAACAGTCGGTCGTTCAAAAGATAATAAAAAATGTTGTTCATGATGATGAAAAAATAAAATAATTCATTATTTCAGTTCGTTAAGTGCAATAATTTTTACCTTAGAACGTGCTTTTTTGATTCTCAATTTTTTCTTTTATTGGTCCACTAATGTCTTCTTTCATATTTTTTGCCAAGTATTTTTTTCTTTTAGTGTGTGAGTGTGTTTCTTCAAACAATCTTGTTTGATCTGTCAATTCTTGTTATATGATTTGTGCCTAGTCTTCATTTTTTACTAATATTTTTTTATTCAAGATTGGGTATGAAGTATGATCACTCTCTTTTATACAAATGTTTGCACAATTAAAAGATTTCGTGCTACATAATTAAATATCTTCTATTGTCAATTGTATCCTATGATACGATCATATCTTCTATTGTTATTTGAGATCGGAATGGATCTTCGTGATTATTCGTTGTTAGTTTTTTTCGATACACAATATGTTTTTTTTAAAACTATTTTTGACTACGGTAACTGATTATCTACTAACTGAGTGTGTATGTATGCAGGTAGTATAACATACTAATCTGTACCAATTAATGAAAAGTGGTCAGATAGTTTTCAGAAAGACAGAACCTGATGACTACTATGCTAATATGTATTGTTTAATCAAATGAGTTGTGTTTTTGTTCAATTCGTTTTTATGCTGTTTTATTTCTTGTGAAATAATGCCATTTTTTGTTCTATGAAATCAGGTATATATACATATATATATATGTAGTAAGAATAAACGGTGAGGTGCTAATACTATTGATTTTTAGATTCTATTTCCATTGTATTTTTGTGTATTAGTCTATCCAAAAAAGACAGTGAGTTTATGCTTCGTTTTTTTTGTCATTTTTCTGGCATAAGAAATAAAGTTAATTTTCTCTACAAAATATTTCGGATAAATAATTTTGATTTTCATAGGTGCGGTTATAATATCGACTAACATGTGCTTTCAACGTTGAAGATATTGGATTTTTGAACTGCCGATACGTTTAATATCAATACTTTTCCATCACAATAACTATTTTTAGCCAAGATAAATTGGTTTAACAATTCTAAATAGTAATAGCAATTGAAATCAATACCCAACCAAGTTATTCGCCTTGTATAAGTGACTCTTCCAATTTTTTCCGTTTGATATGGTATGCACTCTCAAATTTATTGGGCTTCCATTTCTAGTAGGGCTGACCGACATTGTATCTAATCGATAATAGAGAAACTTGAATCAGTGCAGTATCATACGGATATGATAGTTTTGGGTACTATGAAAGGTACATCTAGCGAATGGATACTAACCATCTTGGGTTGGTTAGAACTTAAAGACAGATTTAGAATTATACGGTTGATACTTTTTGCAAAAGTAACTCGAGGTCTGGTACCTGGATACCTGAGTGCTCACATACGTGATCGTCCCCAAAATAGATCGTACAATTTGAGAAGTAATATGCGTAAACAAATCGAACTAGTGGATATCAATAATACGGACGTTTTTTACAATAGTATCCAAGGAATAGAATAAGTTATAGCAGCTGTCTACCGTAACGCAAACATTCTACAATTGAGAAGAAAGATGACTGAACAAATACTTGCTAATCGATTCTCAAGTGCCTTGCCTAAGCAACTGACATTTTTTGATAGACATGCAGAAGTAATATTTATGCGTCTGAAAGCAAACTTTCTCCAACTCAATTACCATCTACACAAAAAAATGCATCCAGTCTTCAATGTGTGCATGTGGATGTGAAGCTGAAACAAACGATCATTACATTCTTCGCTGCACATTACACAATCAATACCGTAAAGAACTTTCTCTTAAACTAAAACAAGTTGACAACAAACATTTTACTACTAAATGATTCATTCGACTTTTGATATGGACGCATATAAAGTGATATTTCAGGGTGTGGATCTCATTATTGAACAAACAATAAGATTTGAATCAGTCAGCTTATCATTTTTCACTTTTTTTCCCACACTGAGTAGTCTCTATTTATATCATGCTATGGTTTCCACTAAATAAATAAAGTTTAAAGCATATAATCGAGCTAGTGATCAAGTTCTTGATGAAAGGTTCTACCACGAAAATTATCTAACATTTCGTCTCATAAAAAAATCCATCTTTTTTCTAAAATGAATTAATTTACAGACAATTAGCGACGAAATGATAGTGGTTTTTGATTCGCAAATCAGACTGATAGTCCTTCAATTGTAGATATAGTTTGTAGATCTAAAACGTATCTCTTCTTCTTCGAAATTTTTGAAACGCAAACTCGGCCCCCCATAATTTAAAA